TACATGATAGAACATACAATCAAAATCACTACAGGGAAAGCACTGAACTCTATAATAACGGTATGATAAATAACAAAGACAAGTTCTTACAAAACAACACAAAACAAAACAAAAATAAACAACATCATATCGTATCATAGAACGCTCGAAGTTAAATTAATCAAGCTCAAAGTACTCAACCTGCTGACATAAAATCCTTATGTCCTGCACTATAATAGTGATGGCTGTACTTTATTTCATCCAGCAACGTCATTCACAATACAGGGAAATATGATCTGATGAGATGAGACTTCTAAATGCAGAAAAACTAGAACCAATAAGTATCCTTCAAACTACAAATAAGCGAGGAGATGCTTATCACCAAAAATACAAGTCGTGTTTACATCTTGTTCTTATGTTGTGTTGCTACACCACAGTTCCATTGTAGACCAGAGTTGAGCGCTCAAACAATGTTTTACCCCGCAATATTCTGCATGTGTCTGTCCAAAGCTCAGGAAATTGTAATCCAGTGGTTGTCGTTGGTTGTTGTTATGGTTTCCTTTTTAAGTATTGGTGTTGTTTTGTACACTTTTCAGGCGTATATATCATATTAGTAGAACGATTGTGTTTGAAGTTACATTAGAAATGTTTAACACGATTATCACCAAGATTCCATGCATTTTTTTTAAGAAAGAACCCAATGATTTTTTTATTAGCAACAAGATTTGAATTAAGAGGAAATAAGACCAGTAATTCAATTATATATATATATATATATATATATATATATATATCTTTTTTCGTTTATTGTTTTGTCATAAATCAGGACGTTGTTTTTTTTCTCGTTTTAATTGTTTCACATTTTGTCATGTAGTATGGGTTTTTGCTCATTGTTGAAGGCCATACGGCAATCTAATGAAAGAATAGATCTGTGATTTCGTTATGCTCATCTGAGGAGTAAGCGAGTTACGATAGATCATGATCTATGGGTGTTAAAGTCCGCTTCATTTGCATAGACTCTGTTGGATAGTTGTTTCATTGACAATCATTCGTTCTTATGTTGTACTGTTACACCACTGTCCAAGGTTAGGGGGAGGGTTGGGATCCCGCTAACATGTTTAACCCCGCCACATTCTGTGTGTATGTGCCTGTCCCAAGTCAGGAGCCTGTAATTCAGTGGTTGTCGTTTGTTTATGTGTTACATATTTGTTATTCGTTCATTTTTTGTACATAAATTAGGCCGTTAGTTTTCTCGTTTGAATTGTTTTACATTGTCATTTCGGGGCCTTTTATAGCTGACTGTGCGGTATGGGCTTTGCTCATTGTTGAAGGCCGCACGGTGACCTATAGTTGTTAATTTCTGTGTCATTTGGTCTCTTGTGGAGAGTTGTGTCATTGGCAATCATACCACATCTTCTTTTTTATAATCATACCGCATCTCCATATTTCGGTACCTTTGTTAATAAACCCATTACCACTCGGTTTCTGAAAATGAAAGGTCTCCTGTAACAATATGGCAACAAGGAAGTATATTCCATGTTCATATTCTCCCTTTGTCAACATCAACTGTAATAACAGTTTCTTCCAAATAAATGTATGTTCTTTAAAACTAATTAAGCAGAATTTCGTTTGGGTTTGGTCAGTTGATTCCGGATTATCAAATTGTAGAAATGTCAATTTTGTATTTGTAAATTTGAAAATTTTCATTTCAATATTGATCTTTATCGTTAAAGAAGATCTGATTTAGGTGCTATATATATTTATCGTCTCGTGTCTATCAGTGGAGGTTTGCAATGTCAGGTAGATTCGAGACATGCCCGCTATAAGGTTCTATAGCCTTTGGCACCACCTGACAATGTAAAATCTTCGTTTTGACATTCGGTGTGCTTGTTAAGAACCTAATTTGTTTTACACTTTCCCTCGATTTTAACTATGACTATTCCAAAATAGAGATGTGACAAAGAAAAGGTTTTGATTTTTATTTCGTCAATTTAATTACGAGTATAGCAAGATTTAGTATTTACAAAAGAAGAAATTTCTTATCGATGGACCCTCAAGTTAAAGTCAATTTAGTAGAATATTTAAAAACATTATTTGATAAATACATTTCTCACTATTTTTATTTTTTTAAATCTGAGAAAAGAACTGTCATGTCATATTAGAAAAATATTGTATAAAAGACAATCCTCTTATTAAAGTTACAGATAATCATGCAGACATATTGCATTAATTCTGAAGGTACACCCCCTTTTCCACAACTGTTTGGCAAAAAAAAGATTTTGTAAAGTATAAAATGGAGAATGAAAGAGGACACTGGCTTCAAGACTATTGACCATTATACTAAATAATTTGTTTGTTTGTCAATTTCAAAAGTCTGTTCCCCGCTTCCATTTCATTCAACCGTCAATGACTCATGTCCTATGCCCATGGAACAATGCTATAAAAATAAGGAGATGAGGTATGATTGCCAATTAGACAACTATCCACCCAAGTTCAAATAAAGTGGATGTAAGCAATTATAGGCAACCTTACGGCCTTCAACGATGAGAAAACCCCATAACGTATAGTGGGCTATAAAAGGCCCCGACATTAAAAATATAAAAACAATTCAGACGAGAAAACTAACGGCCTAATTTATAACAAAACAAATTACGAAAAACAAATATGGCAGACATGAACCAACGACAACCACTGAACTACAGGCTCCTGACTTGGGACAGACACATAAAGAATGTGACGGGGTTAAACATGCTTGTGAGCGCACAACCCTCCCCTATCCTGGGACAGTGGTGTAACAGTACAACATAAAAACAAACCATAAAAATCTGTTGAAAATGCTAAACTCATCAGATCAATACACAGCAGAAAAACATCAAACAAAACCACAGAACGGACGTGGCAGGGTATGTATCCATCCCTCATCCCTAACAACAAAAAAGACACTAAGTACAGATCTGAGAGTACTCCCAGTTACTGACAGTTAGTTCAAAGCCAATAACAACTAATTAAAAAAATCATGCATCTAAGACTAAAATATCAATCAGTACACATCCTACATCCATTTTTTAGTGTAAAGGCGTCATTAACAATCAGAGAAAAACATGACCTTGTGCAATGCTAGTTGATATGCAATTTTGAAAGCTTGAAAATGCATGAGTGGAATTCAAAATAAGCTCACGTCAAACCAGTTTGTAGTAAACGCCCAAATACCCTGCCATCTATACAGCTGTATGCATATTTTACTTTGTTGTCCATAATTATTATAGATATAAGTCCCATAAGCATGCGGAGGAATATAAAGAATTTTAGAAAATTATGCTGATGATATCGTTTTATGATCTAGATCTGCAGAAGGACTGTTACAAGATCAGCTGAACATGGTTGATAAAGTTACATGTAGCAACATTTGGTGCCGTCTCAATGTGAACACCGATAAAACAAAGATTTTGATTTTCAACAAAGCCATTCGATTCGCTAGCCAAGGGCTACGGTCCAATCCCCTCCTCTGGATCGTGGCCATTGGCTAGCGAAGATGCAACAAAGCAGGCCTGCATTTTAAACAGAAAGTCACATTTCAAAATATAAATCTGGAATGTGTTTCAAAATGTATAAGTACTTGTGTTCATATTTATGCTCATCTGGCTATTTCATGATTTTTGCAAGGATTATCTTTAGGGAATCTGAAGTCATGTTATGGCGTAGAAGAGAGGCGAAAGATATCAAAGGGACATTCAAACTCATAAGTAAAAAATAAACTGACAACGCCATGGCTAAAAATGAAACAGACAAACAAACAAACACAACATAGAAAACTAAAGGCCGAGCAACACGAACCCCACCAAAAACTGGAACATATCCGCTATCATCTGTGAAACGGATATTCCATAACGGTCAACCAACTCGTGATGGCGTCCGTAAAATTTACGAAGGTGCTGGTTTAATAGCTTCCCTGTGAGCAGCAACCCTCTATCAAGGAAATCATGATAGGAAATACAAGCCCTGGAATATCGTTTTAACTGGGAGATATATACTCCGTATGCAGGCGCTGCTGGAATGTTGCTACATAGAAATGGAAAGTTCACAATTGGGAAGCTGAAATCATCCCTTTTGTCGTAAAGTTTTGTTTTCAACCGGCCCTCATTGTCAATTGTAGATGTAAGTCAAGCTATGAGGCAGACTTAACTGTATCTGTTGTATCCTTTATTTCAAGTTCGATGGGATAGATGCGTTCAACATAGTCACCAAATTTTGAGTTATTTAGTGAGAGAATATCATCTATATAGCGGAAAGTAAAGTTAAAGGATACTGCTAACTTCTTTTCTTTCTTCCTAAGAAGTTCCTGTATGAAGTCAGCCTCGTATGAATAAAGGAACAAGTCGGCAAGAAGGGGAGCACAGTTGGTTCCCATGGGAATGCCGAATTTACGGACTACCTTTTAGTTTTTAAAACACGTTACCGAAAAAAAACATTACGCTTGCACAAACTTATCGCTTGGTTTCACAATGTCTTAGGTGCTATATGCAGTCAAGATTACTGCCAAATGATTGTACTTCTGATAGAGATTAAATTACTTTTATGAAAATAGATACATCGATAACCTGACTTGAAACAGTCAAAAACAAACAATTTTTTAGTTCCAGAAAACAAATACATTACGAGTAATTCAATAGTTAATAAGAATAAAGAATACATATATAATATTATTACGAAGCATATCAATTTCCATTAATTTCATATTCAGAAATATGAATTTCATTTTGAATGTTATTTGTTTTAATCTCAAATTATTGATGTTAGTTGTCGTGTCACGCTAATGTTTATGAACTTCGGGGGTCTTTAATTGGAATAAAATCTTCGTCTTAAAAAACAATTGTTATGTATGTACTTTTTGTATTATTGCTGTTTCATTGACGTATAACAAACAGCGTATCCTTTTATTTTTAAATTACAATTTTATTTTTACTCCGAAATTCGTTTTTCATAAAAATTGCACTTATTTCAGGGAGAGATAATTTAAAGTCAAGGTCACCGATTAGCAACCAATATAAACAAGATGGCTGATGCTGAACAGAAGGAAAACGCGGGTAGGAATTCACAATAAGAACAAAACTTATACGAGCCCATCATTATAAAATAAATTTTCTTTGGATATATACACTAGTTGATGATCGTTGAGGAAATGAATTTGCATTTTGGATTTATTTTATGCTAACATTTGTATGCCGCAAACACGAGAACCAAACTTTTTTATATTTATCATCTAACTTGTTGGTATTTTCAGATGCACAAATTTGCTGGACGTTGTATGCTACTTTATAATGTTTTACTAAAACTCAGATACAATTTTAGCTTTTTACGTTTGTTCTTAATTATGTTATTCTGTTAGTGTTACACCATTGTCCCAAGTTTAGGGGGGTAATTCAGAGCTCACAAACATGTTAACGTTTCATGTTTACCAGGGCCGATTCGATACAGACGATTTTAAAGTCGATCCGGCTTAATTTTTTTTTTAATATTTACAAGTGATAAAAATTATATTATATTTGACTTGAAGGTGGAAGATAAATAATTTTGCTTTTGACACATACATGTACAGTTAAGTGTCCGGTAAACCTGCCCACTCCCATTTACTTCCATAATTGTCACTTCCATGAATATTTTGTCTGCTATTTTATTCATAGGAACTGTCCTTATCTTCACTGCATGTCAAATTTTAAGGAAAAATCCTTTATTACGAAAATATATAGTGATATATATTAATGCAGTTCCTGGAGCTAACGATAATCATATTGTTGTTTACAAAACTCATTTCAAACTTGAAATTTTTTTTTTGGGGGGAGGATTATCTGGAATCCCTTCATAAGTGGCTAATGATAGATCACCTTTTCCTTTCATAAATATGTGATAAACTGGCCCTCCATACATATTTACTGCGCATAAACGGCTTTCCTGGACAAACACATTCCGATAAAAACACGGATGACCGACTTGTTTTGTTGATTTTGAAATTTATTTCAGATATTTTTTGGGAAATGAGATAAACTACTCAAAATTGATTTGTCAGTGAATCGATTTATATTAAATTTGATACAATTTGTATGTAATTAAGCAGAAATACATAAGATCAAAGCCTTATATGGGTGGATTTACTGGACTGCATCGTATTCAAAATAGAATTTCATTAGAGGAGACCATACATATAAAAAAGAAAATGTGGTATGATTGCCAATGAGACAACTCTCCACAAGAGACCAAATGTCACAAAAATTAACAACTATAGGTCACCGTACGGCCTTCAACAATGAGCAAAGCCCATACCGCACAGTCAGCTATAAAAGGTCCCGAAATGACAATGTAAAACAATACAAACGAGAAAACTAACAGCCTAATTTATGTACAAAAAATGAACGAAATAACAAATATGTAACACATAAACAAACGACAACCACTGAATTACAGGCTCCTGACTTGGATGTATATTCGAATATTTGTTTTAAATTAGAATTTGTCAAGAATACTGAATATGCATAATATAACCAAAACATATATTGCAGAAGTTAGTAAAATCATTAGTCCACATTAATCTCAAGCCATAACTTCTTAAAATATGTGGGATTTAATAAAGGAGCAATAGCTCATAATACATTTTATTTTTATCTGTAAAACTTATGTTTTAAATTTACAATTTGGGATTTTTCTGAAAAGATTTTTACTGCATGTTCTTTACACCAAGTTTCATCTATGATCTATGTTAGAACACTGATCGACATAAAAGAACGAGAGTTGACTGCCAAAATAAGTGTTCTAAAGATGCAACATGTTAAAATGTGACTGTGTCAGTTATTTATGAAGTTGTAAATGAAATACATAACTAGTTTATAAGTCAAACAACTAAATTTGAGAGAAAAAAAGATATACCTACTCAGGGCTTCCAAAAAATATTTGAGCCAGACGGACATTTTATGTCTTATCCCGATTTTAATCCCTTAAGACTTGCATGTAGTAACAAAAGGCAATTATGGTAATCAGTTGGCCATCATGTAACCAATGATTGACATTAAAATGGTATTTAACTTTACTTTGATATAAATTCGATGTTCTGACGTAAACTGTTAAATTGACATTACATTATTCAAAGTGTGCAACATCAGCGTACTAATATCTGCCTTAGACTCTTTATTTGTGCAAAATAACGTTGTCAAAAACTTTCGTTTTTAAAAAGCACATTTTCCTAATACTTGATGTTGACTTGACAATGGTAAAACACGGACCAGAGACGGACACGTAAAATCTGTGTACGTTTTCAAAGCACGATTGAGTTTAAGTAGCTCTTTCCACGTTATTTCTTCAAGAAAAAACTCGAAATAAACGTTAGATAATGGTATCAATGATAATTTTAGCATTTTTGAAGAATTAGGATGCATAATTAAATTTCCCACCTGCACAGGCGCACATGTGTACCAGTTCAAACAACGTGGTTCTGACGATTTTTCGTTTAAAACCTTTTAAAATTTTTCATCAAATCATATTTATAAAAATATTTCTGATAATTTCAATCGTTTTGAATAAATTAATTAGATGCAAACCGCTGAAATGTAAGAAAATAACTTTTTATAGACCGATTAATGTCCGGTACAAAATAGTTTGTAACCTGTCACCTGAACAGGTAAATTTCAGCTGTCCGACAACTAATTAACCTTGACTTATTTCCATTTTGTTAATGCATATGTATAAAAATGAAGGTCTTTGTCTGGTTAATATAATATAACGAACATGGCATTTATAAATAAATGTAACATCACGTCGCATACGCGAAAGGTGAATCGATCTAATGTCGCGTGCTTACCACTGTGCTAGCAAAAAATCCTGGGGAGAACACTGCTTATATTAAAATGACATTTTCTTTTACAAAGGGGGTATTGGTAAGTGATTTTTTAGTCATGTTGGTAAATGTATGTTTGCTTTGTTTTTGCATAAAATTTTTGATACATTATGTAAATACTTTTGAAGACTAATAAAATTATAAAGAGAAAGCTGCTATTTTAACATCATCAATGATAGACTGCATATACTACATGTACTTGTTCTGTTGTTTTTAAAACTTCCTATAGCATAGATGCAAACAGTTTTAAGAAATGACTTAAACAGACAAACCAAAATTTAATATTACATTGTAGCTCACAGAAAACCAATTTCACTTATAAAGTCAACATTTTGATAAATGATACATTGAAATAGTGAATTTTAAGCTTCTTGATTATGTAGTTTCACTAGAACTAAGATTACACCCCCTTTAAGTATACAATAAACAGCCTTAGATGGTTTACATCCTTATGGTTCTATGCTTAACCATTTTATGTATCTACCTTTCCAAACTTTGGTCTTGAGCTACCTAATAAGGATTATTCCAGAAACATGTGTTTACTTAAATAAGAATGTTTTGGTACATTTGGTCATTTTTTGGGAAAGTGCTAAGTTAAACCATTTACAGCATAAAACAGAGATTGATCCAGAATTAAACCGACTTGAGGTAAGGGATGTGAACCTTATAATTTCAACAAACTAAGCAAGTCAGATAATATTCTGATGATCATGTTATTTATGCCAAAAATTTTATTTTATCCAATTTTAGGGGTGACACATGCCCACTTTGCCTCCACCTGAATCTACTCTTGATTAAACCAGTTATTGAATGTGCATTTGATAAAGATAAACAAATTGTTATTGTTTTGAAAAATATTTGCTGTTAATGCTTGCGTTGTTAATGTTGCTGATTGATAAATGTGCAGTTTTACGTAAATGTCCTGTTTATTTGGATGCTAAAGCCAATTTGTGTGTCAATTTTTTTGTAATGCAATGTGTTGCTTAACAGTGTTTGGGAATGGTTCCTATATCATCTTACCTTTGTTTGAAAGCACAAGTGTCTGAACATTTAGTGGTTTATGTAACTTTCAATATATTTTCACATTACTAGCGTCATTTATAAATTGTGTGTGTTTGATGATGTGCTTTACTTAAAATATTTAAAACCTTTCCATAAGTTTTTGTACTGATTGCTTGCATCGTCTTATAGATGGATCTTAAAAAGGAAGAAAATTTGATATGCATGACTTCTACTCCATCATTTCAATCAAAGCAGATTAGGTAGTTTTTCTCCATCTTGTAGTAACCTTTTTTATGAGAAAAATAGCAATACACTAAGGCAGATCCATTTCTGTCACATACTTTTAATCTTCCTATACTTCAGATTGTTATTGAAACATATTCCTCTTCATAGCTATTCAATGGATTTTAGACATTCCATATGTCTAAGCCTAATCCCTCTGTGTACCTACATAGTACTTTGGTTAACCATTGATAATTGATAAGTCCATGCCCAATTTATAATATGATATTATAAAATCTTATTTTATTTAATATTGATTAAGTATACACATGTAATACATCAGATTGAAATTGATTAAGTATACACATGTAATACATCAGATTGAAATAGAATGTTTTTTTTTATCAGAACTAGCCAGTTGACTTCCATATTTTTTTCATAATAGCACTCTCTTGATATGATTGTTATAATATATAAATCTTATTTTGAAATAGAATATTACACTAAATATCAATTTATATTTTTCAGATTCTTTAATAGCTGATATACAGAAGAGAATAACAGATGCATTTGAAATTTTTGACAATGAAAGCAATCAAACAGTTGATGTCAGGTGATTTACCATATCTATATATATAGCAAACTGAATTTTATTTTTCAATCACAAAAACCTCTGAGAAAATGCTGAAAGCCTGAAAAACAACAAAAACATAAATTTCAAACACTATCAAATAATGAAGCTTTATTTGAAAAGAAGAGAAGTAAAACAAAGCAGAACTTTAGAGAAAAGATAAAAAAAGATATATGTAGTGTATGATGTCTGTAGGTTTTGTGTGTTTGATGTCACTTTTTATTGCCTCACCTACTCCATCTATCACACGATTAGGTCTGTTTCCCAGATACTATAAGCAGTAGGTCAACTATATTTTGTGTATTGAATGATTGTAAGGTGTACATGTCTGTTCAACAAGTATCATCTGACCTTGACCTCATTTTCATGGTTCATTGGTAAATGTTCAGTTTTTGTGGTTTGGTCCTTGTTTGGATACTATAAGCAATATGTCAACTATCTTTGGTGTATGAAATGATTGTTAGGTGTACATATCTGTCTGGCAGGGTTCATCTGACCTTTACCTCATTTTCATTGTTAGGGGCCTCGGTGGCCGAGTGGTCTAAGTAGTTACTACTGTAATCACTAGCCAGTCAACACTGAGGTTGTGAGTTCGAACCCCGCTCATGCGGGTGCACTCGACTCCAATCTTAATTGACTAGGATTGTCAGTTTTCCTATCGAAGGTCGGTGGTTTTCTCCGGGCACTCCGGCTTCCTCCACCAATAAAAACTGGCCACCACGAAATAGCCCAAAAGTGGTGCTTAAAAGTGGCGTTAAAACACCAAAAATCAAATCAAATCATTTTCATTGTTCATTGGTCAATGTTAAGCTTTTGTGAATAGGTCAGTTTCTCTGATACTATAAGCAGTAAGTCAACTATATTTGGTGCATGGAATGATTGTAAGGTATACATGTCTATCTGACAAGGTTCATTTGACCTTGACCTCATTTACATTGATCATGGATAATGGTAAGTTCATGTAATACTTATAAATATAAAAAATGATAAATTTTATTTTATTATTGTATCACATATTGATTGTACTTTATACAATAACATAATAAAAATATACATTAAAACAATCAATACCCAGTCATTGAGTTGGCTTATGAGACACATACATTTGTATTTACAAAACAATTCACATTTATATGTACAAAACATTTACATAAATACAAATTCAATTAATAAATTAAAATAATAAATTATATAGATAAAAATTTATTATTATTATTATTATTTAATTCATTTAAATATCACATGACTTTAAAAGTAGTAAAGTTAAAAGGTTACTAAAACTAGTAGAACCTTTATCTTAAAGACTTTCAACATAAAATCAATCATGGTCAGTAGAGAAGGCCAGCTATTTCAGCATGTGCATTCTGGTATACATTGGATTTACAAAATGTATATGGCTTTAGAAATTTATTGACAAATTTTATGGCATACTGATAGATCTAACACCTTTCTTTTTTTCAATAATTGAAGTTACATGTGGTCTTAAATTCCTACGTCATGATCAGCTAAAATGATTTTTAATGATACTTGTTGACCAACTACTTCATCATCAAGTCACTTTATATTATTTGAACCTATATATATATTATTTTATAGAGAAATAAGTACCATCATTAGATCTTTAGGTTGTGTTCCAAGTGAAGCAGAATTACAAGACATTTTGGCAGAGGTAAGAATAATGGGATTGGAATCTCAGCCACACCAGATCTTATATTCAACGGATGTTTTAATGGATATATTTGAGTATTTTCATACAAAGATAAAAATAATTGTAAAATGTGTAGCATGTTTTAAACAACAATGAACACCCATTTAGGATGTTAGCAATGAGAAAATTATTATTCAGGACAGCAGTTTCTATATTTATTGTACTTTCTAAAGTCACAAGGAATTGTAATGAAAGTTAACCAGTATAATGGATAATCTTCTAGAAAAGAAAGGACATGGGGTATGCATCCATGACACTTAAATCAGCATATGCACAGCATTAATTCATTTTTAGTAAATGAAAATACAGTACATATTCAAAGTTCAAATCTATAACATATCAAAGTGAAAGAAGACTATAGTAGATTTCTACATCAGGAGATTAAGGACTTTGAGCTTGGTTTCAGTAACTGCAAGCAATCTGTAAGTTTGGTCATGAATATGGTCAACAAATTACACAGTGCAGCAAAATTTTGAGTACACATTATTTCAAAATACTAAATTTATGAATACTTTTACAAATTTATGAACAAATATTAAGGGTACCCAAGGCATATTACTTTTGATGAATTTATAAAACATTTTTGTATTATGCATATTTTTTTATCCTTCTGATCATTGTACTATAATCAATTTGTAAATGTATATTTTTTTGTTATTGATAGATAGAAGAGGAGGAACCTACAGGATACATACGATTTGAAAAGTTTTTACCAATGATGACAAAAACATTAATGGAAAGAAAGTAAGACACTTATATTGCAGCTAAATTATTTGAGTAGTTGGTCAGTATGTTGGCTTGGTTGTTAGGTGAACAGTCTTCTTAACAATCTGGTCTTGTCCATCCTGTACTGACTACAATGATGGAGGTCAGTAATATGAGAAAATGTTATTTCCATTACCTAGATTTACTGGTATCTTGAATGTTAGTAGTCAGAACATTAAGGAGATGTAAAGTATATTTTTGATATCGGTTGTATAATATGGGTTTAAAGATGAAGTTTACATATCATTCCAGATATCATCCTTTTTACCAAATTTTGGTCCTTTGGATTAAGAGTTGTCCACATTTCATTTACTTTTACTGATAAGTAATGAGAGATACAAAACTTTTCAGATATAAACCACAACCTGAAGATATGATATTAAAAGCATTCCATGTGTTAGATCAGGAGGGAAAAGGCTTTCTGTTGGCAGAAGAGCTTACGAAATACATGATGGAAGAAGGTATGTAAGGTCAATAACAAGTACATACAAAATTATACAGTATTATAAGGGATAGCAAAGCTGAAACTTTCTGTTTTGTTTTGGAAACTGTAAACATTGCTATGTAAAAAAAATAAACAACAAAATAAATTGTATCGTCAAACTAATATTCAAAGTTATCCATACTATATTGCTGATTTTAAATCTGTCTTGCTAGTTTTCTGAAATGATTATTTGGTATTACCTTCAAAATTTGTTCAATTGATACAAAGCTTTATATACAAGAATCAACTGTCATACAATACACAAATGAACTGTTCATATACTTAAAAATGAAATTCTCTGTATTACTTTTTAAAAAGTGGATGAGGACTAAAAATCTGAAGTCTTTGAAGTTAAATCTGTAATCAGAATGCCATTGTTATTCAAGGATAACAGTATTATTTTATTGAAACACAGGTGAACCCTTCACGCAAGAAGAAATGGATGAGATGTTATCAGCCGCTGTTGATCCAGATAAAGGGACAGTACTCTATAAAGACTATGCTTCACAAATGACCATTGATGAACTGTGATATTTATTTTCTTAGTTACGTTTTTTTAATAAAATTGTATGTTTTATTTTCATTTTTTTCTATCCTTTGTCAGATATAGCTACTGATTTATTTAGATTGTAAATAGTCTTTCAGTGCAGTCTTTAGTTTGAAATAAACGAAAGACAGGGTGTGATAGGGGCCTTTTTTCACTTATTTTTTTCAATTAAATTTGAGCTTTCAATTGAAGATTTCAATCGATGATTATCTTAAATTTGATGCAATACAGATGTTTTTGTATGGAAGTCAATAAGTATGAAAGCAGATATGGGGTATACGTAAATGAGACCATAACCTCTAGATGACAAAAATATCCATAAGACCTCTAAATGGCAATATATACAGTCTGTACAAATACAAACTCTAAACCGTCATGAGTCCATATAAGTAGTGAATAAACAGAAACAATCAAAGTAACATGTGGATGCAGTAGAATGTGTCCCTGTGCTTGTGGTGTATGCCCTTATATTTTACAGTTATTGGTTTTTTGTTAGTTAGAGAGCTGTCCATCTTTATTGTTCTTATGTTGTGCTGTTACACCACTGTTCCAGGGTAGGGGGACGGTTGAAACATTTTGAAAGTCCTGAACAAGATGATTTCAATTATGAGGTTTTAAATTTCCACCGACTTAGCAGCAATATACATTTCTAAACTAATTCAGAATTCAAGAGCTAGCAGCTGCTACTCTGACTTTATAAACGTCACTAGTGTCTGAGCAAAAAGTTGATGAATCAGGGTTATGTCAAAGTATGTCTGTCTTTTTCTAAAAAAAGTTCATCAGAAGATACCAAGACCTTGTTGATAAATATTCTGTATCAACTTCACAAATAATATATGATGGTCTTGAAGTACATATTCTAGGTATAGACATTGTTTATCAGTTTAATAACGTGTTATAGTGTTCATTTTTTATCTTTGTATATTTTTAACATTTAGTCCATTTTTGGTAATACTTTTGGCGTGGCTCGGTGTTTAGACATCCTGCCATTGTGATATTGTGCTACGGTCATTTTTGTATTCTTGTCTTTCATTTTTGTTCATGTACTTTGTCTACAGAGTGTCTATATGCCATTTTGTTTTTCTTTGTTAAAATAGCTATTTGTTTTTATAGTGATTAAGATTTTAAGACAATGTTGACTGCTGTACCCCAATGTTTGACATTTTAACCTATTATGTCTGTTTGTTTTGCCCACACATTGTTGTCAATATAATGGAATTCTATGCGACAAGAGGTTAAGCTAGCTATAAAACCAGGTTTAATCCACCATTTTCTACATAAGGAAATGCCTGTACCAAGTCAGGTATACGACAGTTGTTTTCTATTCGTTTGATGTGTTTGAGCTTTTGATTTTGCCATTTGACAACGGAATTTCCGTTGTGAATATTCCTTAAAGTTCGGTATTTTTGTTATTTTGCTTTTAACAACAGTGGAGAACTACAGTCAACAGAAGAAATATTCCGTACAGCCTTCAAAATGTAGTCATCAAAACTGGAAAACAAGAATTAGAGGATAACTTAATTTTAATTTAAATGATACATCTATTCAAAATGTTGAATCTGCTGTACATTTAGGAATTACCCACAGCAAAAATCAACGGCAAACTATCTCGATACATATCCAGGAAAACATCTATAAAGCAAGAAGAACTGTGTTCAGCTAGATGGGGACAGGCTTACATGACAAGAATGGTCTCAATTCAACAGCATGCTTGCAGTTATTCCAAGTATATGTGTTACCAGTTCTTATTGATGACTTAGAAATACTATTACAAATTATACACAAATGGATCCAATTGAAGTACTCTACCGAAAAAGCATCAAACAATTCCTATCTATTCCAAACAAAACAACAGACATGGCCGTATATATATATATTATCAGGTACAATTCTAGTCATCAGTAAAATCCATAATTAGCTTTAGGAATTTTTGCTAACATTTCAAGACGGGAGAACTCTATAGAAAGACATGTTGCGGAAAGACAAATTCTTATATCAACATCCGTAAAAGACAGAAGTTTGTTCACAAAAATCATATCTTTATTAATTCAATACAGCTTTCCATTAATCTTTAACATTTTGGATGAACCCCTTCGATATTAAAATGCAAAAGTTCTATCAGGAAAGCAATTGATTCCGTCTTGGTCGATCATGTTGTTATCTTGTCTATCTACTACAAGAGTTATTCATTTATATCAACATCTAATTACAAAACTGATCATTTACACAATGCTCTGGCAAGTGCATGTCCAGACTTCCGCAAAAGACATCCAGCGTCTCCCCATCAAGCTTCGACTACATATACAACAGTCAACAAAAGATCTTTGTATCCTACATAAGACAAAGCACCAGTTAAACGAGTTCCGAGCGTTCCGCACAAAATCAATTGAGTGTCGCAAATAACTGTTAAAACAATACAACGTTTGCTACATGTGTTGTGAGTCAACCACACACATAAGTCGGGTTGCAATGCATACATTAGCTGTAAAGAGTGTGGAAGTAAATAACAAACTACCACTCTACACATAATTAGGATGCTACCACACGCAAGTTCTCAATCTAAACTACGACGGGGAGAAGAGAGAGTCAGTTAAAACCAAGTTGACCTCTGTGAGTTCAACATGCACAGAGATCTACAAGGATACTTCTAGAGGGATATCTTATGCCAATATTTTGCCTGTGAATGTGTATCACGAAGACAATCGGAGGAAAGCTATCTGGATGTACGCTATAATTGACGACCAGATCATTCGGCCTCATGCCTTGCCCGAGTTCTTTAGTATATTTGACGTACAGGAAAAACCAGAAGACTTCACTCCAACAATCTGCTCCGGCAAAATAGTTACTACTGGAAAAGAGGAAGGGATTTCGTCATGGAATCCGTACATGGTGACGTACAATTAACTCAGTGTACATGAATTGAATGTAATCATATTCCCAATAATCGTGAAGAAATTCCAACACCTGAAGACACTATGCATTATCCGCACTTGAACGTACTCCGAGAAAGCACACCAATAATTGACAAACAGTTTAAAATTCTACTCCAAACTGGAAGAAACCTTATAGAAGCACACCATGTCCTTGAAAAACGCCTAAGATCACCCTGAGTAACATTTGTCCTAAAGTTGAAACTGGGTTGGGCCTTAATTGGAGAGACACACATTCTCGAAGTAAACGCAAAGATAACAAACATCTTGTCTAGTAAACCACAACCATTTCTTGCCTAAAGACCGCAAAGAACCTCAACGAAAATCGACTCGTTTGTCCAAATAACGACCAAGATTTCAATTCATCTGTCAAGGTTTCAAAAACGCATGCCATGCAGTTACTTAGATGTACCGGACTCTTCATGGAGCCTCGTGGGTTTAAGCGTTTCTCTGAATGGACAGCGCTTGGCCGAACAAAGTAAAATAAGAAAAATAACGAACTCCAAGGAAAATTCAAAACGGAAAGTCCCTTATCAAATTGCAAAAATAAAAGCTCAAACACATCAAACGAATGGAAAACAATTGCCATATTCCTGCCTTTGTAGATGCATTACCTTATACAGAAAAACAGGTGGATTAAACCTGGTTTTATAGATAAGTTAACCTCTGACTTGAATGACAGTTGCATAAAATTCTATTATATTGACAACAATGTGTGGGCAAAACAAAACAGACATAATAGGTAACCTGCATCGTCAACAATGGCCACTTTTTAGTAAAAAATATCATTTAAGAGTTAACTGACAATTTCAGTGATGTTGACATATTTGTAGATCTTATCCTGCTGATAACGTTTTCTTTTTAAAGTTTCTATTTATCTATGATGGTTTTCAAGACAATAGGCAAAAAATGCAAAAAATGTAAAAGAAGTAAAAGAATATCATTAAAGGGCAATAACTCCATTAACGAGTCGACTGAATATTTCGGCCATTAGGCTTATTGGTAGATCGTTTATTGCTGATCATTTGTGCTTTTTAAAGTTTCTATCTATGTATTACATTTTTCAAGATAATAGGCAAAAATGAAAAAAAATCGTCATTAAAAGGCAGTAACTTCAATAAGGAGTTGCCTAACAATTTTGGTCACGTTTGACTTGTTTGTAGATCTTGTCTTGCTGATCATTTTTGATTTTTAAAGATTCTATCTATCTATTATAGTTATTAAGATATTAGGCAATAATGCAAAAATATGGTGAAAATCGTCGTTAACTGTAACAAGGAGACGTCTGACGATTTTTGGTCTTTTTAACTTATTTGTAGGTCCTATCTTGCTGATAATTTTTGCCATTATAAGTTTTTGTCTATCTATTATAATTTATGAGATGATATCATATGGATTTTTTAATGGTAAAATTCATCAATTAGGGGCAATAACTCCTATAAGAAGTCATCTGACAGTTTTAACGTAAATCGACAAAAGGTATAACTCAACATTCTTACCATTTTTGCTTCTGTCTGAATTTCTCTATTTATAGCGGTTTTCAAAATAATAAACGAGGGCCAAGTGAGCTTTTCTCATCACTTAACGTCCATCGTCCGTTAACTTATACAAAAATCTTCCCCTCTGAAACAACTAGGCCAAATAAAACCAAACTTGGCCTAAATCATCCTTTGGGTATCTAGTTTAAAAAATGTATCCGATGACCCCGCCCATCAACAAAATGGCCACCATGGCTAAAAATAGAACATGGGGGTCAAATGCAGTTTTTGGCTTATAAACTGTAAACAGCAAAAATGTTCAGCAAAGTAAGATCTACAAATAAGTCAAACATAAGCAAAATTGACCCCTTCAGGACTTATTGCACTTTAAAGTCAATTTTTCACAATTTTTCGTAAATTTTTGTAATCTTTTACAAAAATCTTTTCCTCTGAAACTACTGGGCCAAATTAAACCAAGCTTGGCCTAAATCATCCTTAGGACATCTAGTTTAAAAAAAAATGTATCTGATGACCCCGCTTATCAACGAAGATGGCCGCCATGGCTAAAAATAGAACATGGGGGTAAAATGCAATTTTTGGCTTATATCTCTAAATATTATAATAGATAGAGATAAACTGTAAACAGCAAAAATGTTCAGCAAAGTAAGCTCTACAAATAAGTTAAATGATCAAAATTGTCAATTGACCCCTTCAGGAGTTATTGCACTTTAAAGTAATTTTTTCACAATTTTTCGTAATATTTTGTAATCTTTTACAAATCTTCTCCACTTAATCTACTGGGCCAAATAGAATTAAACTAAGCCACAGTTTTCAATAGGGTATCTTGATTGAAAAATGTATCCGATGACCCTGTCATCCAACCAATATGGCTGTCATGGCTAAAAATAGACCATGGGGGTGAAATGCAGTTTTTGGCTTATATCTCTGAATATTATAATAGACAGAGATAAACTGTAAACAGCAAAAATGTTCAGCAAAGTAAGTTCTACAAACAAGTTAAATGATCAAAATTTTCAATTGACCCCTTCAGGAGTTATTGCACTTTAAAGTCAATTTTTCACAATTTTTCGTAATATTTTGTAATCTTTTACAAGTCTTCTCCACTTAATCTACTGGGCCAAATATAATTAAACTAAGCCACAGTTTCAATAGGGTATCTTGATTGAAAAATGTACCCGATGACCCTGTCATCCAACCAATATGGCTGCCAAGGCTAAAATAGAACATAGGGGTTTACTATAGAAGTCTATGTGAAAATTGTAAAAAAACACAATTTCAATTGGTCACAACTTGAAAACTAATTTAAATAATGATAAGGGGTCTTCAGTAACTATTGTAAAACTACAATGGGATGACCTGCTTTTAATTTAACTACTGGGCCGAATTAAACCAAACTTGGCATCAATCATTAGTAGGGTATCATACTATTTATTATGATTTTAACTTTATTTTACATGATTTCCAAAACCACAGTAGATACAGGTGAGCGACGCAGGCTCTTGAGAACCGCTAGTTAGCCATGCCGGCCATCTTGGTTGGCAGGCGGAGTCATCGGACACATTTCATTAAACTAGATACCCCAATGATGTTTGTGGCCAAGTTTGGTTAATTTTGGCTCAGAAGTTCATGAGAAGATTTTTGTAAAAGTTAACGACGACGGACGACGGACGCCAAGTGACGAGAAAAGCTCACTTGGTCTGTCTGCCAGGTGAGCTAAAAAAGTAAAAAAATTGGGTACAGCGGTCAACATTATGTTATAATCTTAATCACTATATAAAACAAACAACCATGTCAACAACGAAAAACATAATGGCATATAGACATTCTATAGACAAAGCACATAAGCAAAAATGTAAGACAAGAATACAAAAATGACCATAGCACGATAAAACAATGGCGCGATTTATAAATACCCAGCCACGCCAAAAGGATATCACCAAAATGGACAAAACGATAAAGGTTAAAAATATACAAAAACAAATAAAAAGAACATGGCCTCGCTACGGTGACTTTGAGATGAAGTCATCATGAAGAATAGCAATAAAAGCGCTGTTCCTTTACTTTTTGTGTGTACTGATTTTGTGTCATGGATGGATACTCCATATCCTTTGTTTTTCTACTATAATACGTATTTTTAAAAGATGATAAACAACGTCAGTAACTAAAATCTATATATCAAGACCATCATGTATAATTTGTGAAGTTGATACGGATTATTTATTAACAAGGTCTTGATATCTTCCTATGAACTTTTTTTTGAAAAAAGGACGAGACGTTCTTTGACATAACCCTGGTTCATCACCTTTCTGCTCAGACACTGTTGACGCTTTATAAAGTCTTGAGTAGCAGCTGCAAGTTCTTGAATACTGAATGAGTTAGGAAATGCTTATCCCATATGCAGTTGAAGTTGGTATATTGCTGCTAAGGTGGGGAAGTTTATAATTTAAACTTAAGATCGTCTTGTTTGTCATAGATTCTGGTACTTAGATGACCGCTTATGTCAAATTCGAGGTATACGTCTAAAAATGAGACTGAGGAAGCCGTCTGTTGTTTCTTTAATTTCTAGTTCTGGAGGATATATTAAGAGATTGTTTTATGTGAACTTTTCCCCCGTTCAATGAATGAAACGTGTGTCTGGCGCACACAAATTTTAATCCTGGTATATATGATGAGTTTATTTACACGGGTCACAAAAGGCAAAATCTGTGACTTCTGTAGAAAGTATTCTGGAATTCTGAAATCAGCACTACCTTAAGTTTTCGGAGAAGAAATAAATTGTATTTGCAGAAAGCAGCCTATTCCGAAGCGAACCGTATTGCCAACCTCAATCCACTTTTGAACAAGCAAGTACTACTCCAAGTAGGAGGCCATATTGTCAAATCTGACTCGAGTCTAAGTGAAAAGGCACAAAAGATCCTATCTGGACGCCATCATATAGCAACGCCTTTAGTTAGACATTACTATGCTGAGATACAACACCCAGATCGCCACTTCAATGATGGAGCAACTAGACCTGCAGGATTTTGAATTATTAGAACGAAAACGCTTGATTTCGTCTGTTACTCACAAATGTTTGACATTCCGCCAGAACCTCAGAAGAAGAAGTACTAAATGTTGTCTGATTAACCAGAAGACCATATATCGCCGCGATGCCAAAGAACAAGAAGCTATGCCGTACCTAGTTTCTCGTGGGATTAATTGCAAATTCATACAAACTCGAAATAGAAAGTTCGAATAGTGGCAAGTAAATAACCGACCCTCCTCACACGACCAATCGTGGATATATAATTTCTTCACATGATATTTCAGTGTATATAGTATTTATACAATATTCATGTACGATTTATTTTTGAAATAATAAAAGATATCAGACGGGGAGTGGCTATTCACATCATCAATGTGTCTATATATTTTGTTTAATCGTATTTTCGATCAGTTTATATTTTCCATAATTAAATCTGGACATCATCGTACGACATTTTATTTATACTGTAGCCTATAAGGATTGTGATTGCAACGAATGCAATTATATTTTTCTTGATGAAAAAAAAACGAGACATAGTTGCATTTACTGCGCTTGCATATTATAAACTTTATTTTGAAAACGTGTGACATAAATTAAATATCGAAGAAAACAAATGATTAAGGTCATACTGAACACTCAATGTCATGAACAAATATACAAAAAGTTTACTGCATTCTATTCATTGTTCTCTTGTGTTTAAGCTGTAAAACGGTTCTTTTAATTACGTCCGACTACCATGACGTTAAATAATTTACTCTCAACTGTTTCACAATAGGCTATATTGATTGGCTGTTAATATTGTATACTTAACTGAAAACACTTTGAAATAATTACATGTAATTTTATGATAAGATAGTAACTTCCTTAAAATTTCAACAACTTGTTGACTGGGACTATTTTACTAATATAGTATAAAAGTCCCAGTTGTGTCGATTGAAAACAAAGTTCTACGCCCTTTATCACTTCGTTCATGGAGTAACAAACTTTTGCATTCAAAGATATTTAAATAAATCATAACTAGAATTAAACCATTTTTCAAACACTGGCATTAATCCATAGTCACTCTGAAAGTGTTTTATCTATATACAGAAGGGTTAAGCAGATAATACTACTCGTGTTGTCAATAATTAAAACTACACTGTCGCTCATCCGTATTGGTCTACCAACGTGCGACCTGTTTTTGTATGCGATGCACACTAAAGAGAAAGAACATCAATTCATAAATCACACCTTATAAAGGCTTGCATTAATGTCCTTTCTCCAAATGATACAAATCAAAGCGGAAAATAGTCCAGTTCATCCAAATATTTTACACTATCATATGTCATTTAGCTTGTAGTACCATAACCAAATAATAATAATCAAACAAAATGTACACTTTCGTCCACCTTCTTGCTATTTTCAGGGTTAGAATTTACATCCTTTGAATTCGTTTTAAGTTTAAGAGCATTCAGATTAACGTCCGTTACGGCTATTACGTCCGATCCGCCATCTTGACTGTTATTTTCTGTTTTGAAATCTTCCATTTCCCTGATAATGACTTTTAAGTGGTGTCTTTCTTCTTGTAAAACTTCTATTTCTGAGCGCAGTTCTTCATTTTCTCTCCTTACAGAAGAATCACTTCGTATTCTCCTCAATGACTGAATTTCTGTCACCAGATCATCTTTTTCTTCGTTTAGTTCTAATGAATATAAATATATATACAAATTAAAACGTTCTTGGAGAGAAAAAGATAACTTAAATTTGAAAATAATTACAAGGAAATTTTCAATATTTGCTCTAATGCAAAACATTATCCATAGGAATAATAGGAATAGACACATTAATCTTACCAATTAAGTTTTTTTGGTATTGTTTTTATCTTAAATCTTTTATCAGTGAGAGAAAAACATACAGTGAAACCAATTCTGTTATATAGATACAATGGATAAGCGTGGATTCTTGAAAAAGAAACCATGAGCCCGGAGGGCGAATGGTTTGTTTTTCATGAATCTACGCTTATCCATTGTATCAATAACTTAAACTATTGTGTTAATTTCTTTTCAAAATTAAAGCCTTTTCTTAATTAGAAGGTATTGTAAGTGAGTTTAAATAACCATGTTATCGTGTCCAACGATGCATTGATAAATCTCAGATCACAATTTATTGGTTAACAAAATACAAATATAACACTTCTACCTTTAAAGATCTTTATATTACCAGGCATATGAATATTATCTGTTTATACAAAATAAGACATATTCGAAATTATTTCTAATAAAATTGAAAATGGAAACAGGGAACGTGTCAAAGAGACAACAACCCGACCAAAAAGCATATTTAAAGTATATATAATAAGTATGTTATCGAAATTTTTCTAGCACTCTAGGCACATCACGATTTTCTCGCATAGGAATTTGCGAACAAACCTTTGTTAAATTATGTAGTAAAACAGATGAAATCATACTATATTTATAAAACAAAAATTGACAAATAGAATGTAATCATTTTTGTTTCAAACATGTGAAATAGCCAATAATAATAAAAAAACAAACCGGTAAAACTAGCTATTATTACAAAAATATCCACTATAACATGCAAAATTAGAAAAAAAACAGGATAACTTAAGAATTGGAGCAACAGAGAGAATACAGGGATTCGAACCTAAACCGACAAATCCCTATCTTTAACTCATTGATGTTAACCATGCTAACCTCGCGGCTACCAACTCATACTATACGACTGCCTATTGTGTCTATATAAAGGTACAAGCCCTGTGTGTCCGATGAACCGATGTATATCAGATGTTCATTTAAATATATAATATAGACATCTATAGTGTAACCCATTGGTAGCCGAGAGGTTTCGTCGATGTGTTGATGTCAGTCACACATAACAGATTTCAAGGAAGGGTTCGATTCCCAGTGAAGGCATATAAAAATTACAAAATTAAAGGTAAGTTTTTAAATTAATTTCATTAGTGAACAGAAATCAGTAAATTAGCCAATTCAAACTTAATGAAATTAGGCACACAAAGGAAACAATTGAATATAATTTGGTGAGTCAATTTCAGCGGCAGATTTAGAAAGCGTTGATTCTAGAAAAAGAATCCACGGTAAATGAATAGGGTGACGTCACTACAATGGTTTAATAAGTAGGTCAAATATTATACAATTAATACTGATTGATATTTAAGTCCGTGAATACATGGTTTATCTATTAGTTGAAATTACCGTTGAAGTAGCTGCGAGTACTTTTAGGTTTGTACTTTATGTTTTTTGTCTTTTTTTTTGTTGATTCTAGACGGTGTAATTTGTCAAACTGATCTTTACAGTTTGTTTTCAAGTTGAACAGTAACACCACTGATAAGTCAGAGTGGGTACAGTTGATAGTGTTTAACCCCGCCAAATTCTGAATGTCCTTGTCCTAAGTATATGTAGCCAGTAATTCAGTGGTTGTCTTTGGTTGTTTGTCTTCATATTTGTTTTTGTTTATTGTTTTTTTGCATAAATTATACCGTTTATTTCCTCCTTTAAAATGTTGCCATTCCGGGCCTTTTATAGCTTACTTAAGGTTTTGCGCATTGTTGAAGGTCGTACGGTGACCTATAATAGCTGTTTAAATCCTCATCCTTTGGGTTGGAAAGTTGTCACATAGGCAATCATACCACATCATTGGCGTTTGTTTGTTTTGTTTAAGTATTATAAAAGATAATAAATAAGTACATTTAGTTTATTTTCTTTTATGTGAATGATTATTTACCCGGCGACTAAAATATCCTAGATTTTATGCAGATGTCTGGATTTTCTCATAATTTATTCTCATGTATTTAAGGGTCTGCACGTAAATAAAGCATATATAATCGTGGAAATAATCAGGTAAAAGTCGCTCTTTAGCGGGAAAGACTATAACATGTTGTATTAGTAAGACAGAAAGTAGACATTAGTTGAGACAGCTAGGTAACTAAAGACGCATCAGTGAATGTTAAAAAATGTTACATGATGACGTTTTTCAGTCTGGCGTTGGCATAAGGCTTCACTATCTTATAGTGTTGAGAGCGATATAAATGTGATATAAACTAGTATATATTGACGTTAGTTCTACTTACTTTCTATTTGTTTGTTTGCATTCACCAACTCGTCTTCAACTTCTGCTTTAGCTAATTCCAATTCTTCTAGAGTTTCCTGTGCATCACAGTTGTCATTTTCTGATTGGATCAAACGTAGTGCCAAATCATCCACTGTCGTGTTCAAAGATGTCTAAAAGTCAAAGAAATATATCATAAATTATGTCATTTCTGAAAAAAATATTTCCTTTCCATTTGAAACAACATAAAAGGGCCTGTATGCTGGATCACTTTCAAGTACATCACATGGGGTAGCACTGTCATGGGAATCGTCTTCAAACCATTTGCTATTCAAAGTTTTTCCCGTGTTTTACTAGAAATTTTCTCATTTCTAAAAGGACTAACTTCCACATTATTGATCATTATTTATGTCGATCATTTTATAATAAGTAACTTTAAGTTCTGACATCCGTACGTATTGTTAAAATGATATTTAACATTTTAGATTGGTAATAGTAAAATAGTAAAAAAGTCAGCCCCTTACATGCTTATATTTTATCCCTTTATTAACTCAATCAACGGTCGTAACTTACTAATGTCACCTTAAAGGTTTTATTATGTTCTTGTATTAAAGCGGGGGCCTCGGTGGCCGAGTGGTCTAGGTAGTTAATACTGTAATCACTAGCCAGTCAACACTGAGGTTGTGAGTTCGAACCCCGCTCGTGCGGGTGCACTCGACTCCAATCTTAATTGACTAGGATTGTCAGTTTTCCTATCGAAGGTCGGTGGTTTTCTCCGGGCACTCCGGCTTCCTCCACCAATAAAAACTGGCCGCCACGAAATAGCCCAAAAGCGGTGCTTAAAAGTGGCGTTAAAACACCAAAAATCAAATCAAATGTATTAAAGCGTTTTAATTATTTTGTTCATGTTATGTTTTGTTATTTTGTTTTTTTTTTTTGGTGGGGGAGAGGAGGATTTGCAGATTTGAAAAACGCAATATAATTCCAGCGAAATCAATGACTTCTAATATATAAACATTTTGTGATCTGTACACTCCACTTGTCGACCTACTATTGCAAAACTCCGGTCGATCAGTAATATAAAAGTGATAGGAAAGAAAAGCCTTTTGAATATTTTAGGCCTGACACTTTTCACACCTGACGTTACCTGAGACATCAACAACATAATTTAACTAAAATATAAAAATATGGACATGTGTCGTATAATGATATTCCTATAAGGATTCCTCACCATGTCCTGTTTAAGATGCATTTTATAGTCCTCTAGCTCTCCCATTCTCATGTCGACACTCATTTTTCGTCGATTTACTCTCCACTTTTCACGTTTAAGACAAGCAATTAATGATCTTGCCGAATCTAAACCATCTTTCAGTCGTCTGAAAATATTTGGCCTTTTTGTATCATTATCATCTTCGTCATCCTAAAATCAAAATTCTTCATAGATTTTAACATGAAACTACAGACCCCTTTTCTACACATGCACATGCTATTTTCTGTCTCGTTGAATTTGAATTTGCATCTTCGTGTTGTATTTTCCATACACGTGTATTTCATCTGGTTGTATTCTACTTTAGTGTCTTTAAATGTGTCAGTATAACATTTGCCTTATATCTTCATTGCTTCAGTTTTGTTATTAACCTGCATTAACATAGTTCTACAATACTGGCCGGTATAATAAACAACAAGCAGACAGGTACAAGTAAAAGTTAAAAAAAAAATGTTCTTGCAGGTTGAACCATACTTCCCTTATAAATCCCAATATTTGGAATAGAAAGTAAAAAAACAAAAATACCGAACTCCAAGGGAAATTCAAAACGGAAATTCCTTTATTAAATCACAAAATCAAAAGCTCAAACACATCAAAACAACTGTCATATTCCTGACATGGTACAGGCATTTCCTGATGTAGAAAATGGCGGATTTAACCTGGTTTTATAGCTAGCTAAACCTCTCACTTGTATAAAAGTTAGTAAAATGTAATAAATTGATATTCTTGTTGCTTTTTCTTGTATTATGTTTGCTGTTTCTGTTTCTGATTACCTTAAGTTACTTTATTTCTATGCTTGTTATTACATTTCTGCCCTTATATTCGGGTAATGGATTCCGTATAGACGTATGATAACTTGTCTGATTTTTATTAAGATGCACAAATGTTTGACCATCAGAAATAATGTAAATGTTTTTGACTGTGTCATACGGTCTGGTATTGTGCGTAATCTTAAGTATTGCCAAGTAAATTTGGCAATGGTAGCCACATTTTATCACCGTAAAAAAATCGGAAAACATTATATTAGAACAATTGTATTGTTAAAACTATAGTCAGTTCCATTGACCTACCTTTTGGAAAGTATCTTCAATTTCTGCTAAGATGTCAGCTAGTCCATCCAGTCTATCGACAAGGTCATCGGCTGTGTCCAGTAGGTTGTCACTGCTCTTCCTACGGGGGACTCCACCATCACACAAACTATCACTACTTTTTACACGAGGAAGTGCCATTTAAACGCTGTAGCAGAGAGATGAAAAAAGATAATGTAGTATGTCGAAGTATGATATACAACCAAATAATAATGTATGACAGTATTTGATTGTTCTTTTTAATGATAATAACTGCAATACACATATATGTAGTCATTTAAGACATATAAAGTGGAGTATGCAATGTTAAAATCAAATCACAGTTGGTATCAATTCTAACCTCTCTTGAAACCTGTCAGGAGAATAATCTAGAAAAGTCTGTAGAATAATTCTCCTGACACCTTTCAGTCAGTTTCTGACAGAAGCAGTTCTACCCTAGAACACTTTTCGACAGTTCTTCCCTAGAACAAATCCTGACGGTTACCATGAACAGTTTTGTACAGTCCTACTCTATAACACTTTTCGACAGTTCTACCCTAGAACAATTTTGGACAGTGCTAGCCTTGAACAGTTTTGTACAGTCCTACTCTATAACACTTTTCGACAGTTCTACCCTAGAACAATTTAAAACAGTGCTAACCTTGAACAGTTTTGTACAGTCCTATTCTATATTACTTTTCGACAGTTCTACCCTAGAACAGATCCCGACAGTAACCATGAACAGTTTGGTACAGTTCTTCTCAATAACACTTTTCGACAGTTCTACCCTACAACAATTTTGGACAGTGCTAACCTTGAACAGTTTTGTACAGTCCTACTCTATAACACTTTTTCGAAAGTTCTACCCTAGAACAGATCCTGACAGTTACCATGAACAGTTTTGTACAGTCCTACTCTATAACACTTTTCGACAGTTCTACCCTAGAACAATTTTGGACAGTGCTAGCCTTGAACAGTTTTGTACAGTCCTACTCTATAACACTTTTCGACAGTTCTACCCTACAACAATTTTGGACAGTGCTAACCTTGAACAGTTTTGTACAGTCCTACTCTATAACACTTTTTCGAAAGTTCTATCCTAGAACAGATCCTGACAGTTATCATGAACAGTTTTGAACAGCTGTATCTATTTATAAAGTGATTTATATATTTCACTTTATTTCTTTTTTATTATTTATTTCTTTATCTATTTCTTTTGTTTTCTTTTTATTATTTTCTTTCATGATTAATTATTAAATATTGTTCATTTTTTTCATTGTTATTGTCGCAGTATAATCAAGTACAAAGAACATCATATAGTTAACTTATTTAGAAAAAAATACATTTACTGCTTTTGAAACCAGAGACAATGTTATAAAATGAACTTTCTCCTCTGTCTGTTTACTTGTTTACTTTGAAATTCTAAATTAATAGTGTTGAACTGTAAATGTTCAAGATAATAAATAATTAGTTTTTAGGTTTTAAACTATGACTTGTTAATATCAGTGCGTGACAAATTTACATAACCATACTAACCACATACATGTATGTATTATTATACAAAATTGTATACTGATAGGTAAACTCGGGTATAGAAACACTCCACCCCGAGAAAATGATATTTTCAATGTGTAATCCAAATATTTTATTGAAAAAAATCCTTAATGTTTTACTTGTTGTAAGTTCTCCTCGACCTGTATAGTTGTCTTTCGAAAGATTATATATATACAGAAATATTAGAAGTATATTTTCCCACTGGTTAAGCATTATTATAAAATGCAAATAAAAATATGTTTAATAAAAAATCGGTAATACACAAGCAGGAATAACAGAACTAAAACATACATCCAAGACAGTAATTATTTTTCACTATTTAATCAGTTCTACCCTAGAACTGATCATGGCAGTTCTACCTTAGAACATTTTTGGACAGTTCTAAAAGATAGGTTAGAACTGATTCTAACTGTAGATCATATTAGAATCAAAAATATTTGTAAGAGCGATAAAACTATTGCCAACTACTATATTCGTGAATTTGTGATGCCTTGCTGTACCTTCCAAGTTGGTGTTACTGTGCGGCAACGTCCAGTTTGACAATGCTTTATCCACCAGCACGAATTATAGACAAGAGTGCGCATGCTTAAATGTCTCGCCAGCTTTAATCGCCATTGATTTTATGTTGAAATTCTTATTAAAAAAGATAAAGGTTTTACTTCAAGTATCACATAAACTTAACATTTTTAAGGATTCATGATAATGAGGTCAAGGTCAGAAAAATCCTGTCAGCCAGACATGTACACTTTACAATTATTCCATACACCAAATATAGTTGACCTATTGCTTATGTTAATTGAAAACAAACCAAATTTAAAAAAAAAACTTAACATTGACCAATCAACCATGAAAATGAGGTAAAGGTCAGATTATACCTGCCAGACAGACATGTACACCTAACAAGCATTCTAAACACTAAATATAGTTGAACCACTGCTTATAGTATTTGAAAAAAACCCAGACCAAACACAAACTCTTAACATTGACCAATGAACCATGAAAATGAGGTCAAGGTCGGATGATACCTATGAGACAGACATGTACACCTTACAATAATTCCATATACAAAATATAGTTAACCCACTGCTTATAGTATTTGAAAAACAGACAAACACACAAACTTTTAACATTGACCAATGAACCATGAAAATGATGTCAAGGTCGGATGATACCTACCAAATAGACATGAACACCTTACAATCATTCCATACACCAAATATAGTTGACCTACAGCTTATAGTATTTGAAAAAAACGGACCAAAACACAAACTCTTAACATTGACCAAAGAACCATGAAAATGATGTCAAGGTCGGATGATACCTACCAGACAGACATGAACACCTTACAATGATTTCATACATCAAATATAGTTGACCTACTGCTTATAGTATTTGAAAAACGGACCAAAACACAAACTCTTAACATTGACCAATGAACCATGAAAATGAGGTCAAGGTCGGATGATACATGTACACCTTACAATAATTCCATACACCAAATATAGTTGACCTACTGCTTATAGTATTTGAAAAACAGACCAAAACACAAAACCTTTACATTGACCACTGAACTATGAAAATAAGGTCAAGGTCAGATGAACCTGCCAGACTGACATGTATCCCTTACAATGATTACATACACAACATATAGTTGACCTACTGTTTAAAGTATCTGAGAACGGACCTTTAACCTTACCTTTACGTTAACCTTGATCACTTATCCATATATTGGGGTCAAGGTCAGGTGAACCCTGTCTGACAGACATGTAGACGTTACAAGGAACCCATATATACCAAATATAGTTATCCTATCACTCATAATTAATGAGAAATTCACATGACAAGAAAACTATATTTTTTTTCGCAAGCAGTTGCTGAACCATGAAAATGAGGTCGAGGACAATGGACATATGACAGACGGAAACTTCGAAACTTAAGGTATCTGAATACAAGGTATGAAGCATCCAGGTCTACTACCTTCTGAAATATTAAGCTTTAAACAAATTGTTTACCTCACCACCGCCGGATAGTAACCCCTATGTCTCGCATACTTCGATTTTCTTTGCAGGCGAGACAAAAAGCTCTTTTGAACCATGTAAAAGAAATGACAGGTGATGGTTGCACAACAAGCTCATGAAATACTAGGAGATTACTAAAATAGACAAGAACAGCACTTTGATTGCCATACTTCTTCATGAAAGTTACTGTTAAGTTACAGCCGTTACTGATTTTATCCCTTGTGTCAGTTTGCTTGGTTTAACAGGTTTTATGGTTTAAATGTCAAATTGTTTACGAAAGCACTGTCCTAGTAATATATGGTATAAATGTCAACCAAGACAAGCAAAATATAAAATATTGACGTATAGGTAACAGGTATGGTTTATTAATGAAGTTAATTAATAAAAACAAAGCACAATTACTTTAATTAGCATAATTGTATTATAACATTTACGTAAAATCTGTTTAAGTTATGATAACAGGATTTAATGTTATTTCAGTCACGATGAGCCGAAGGCATGTGTTTGTACTGAATGTTAAGGCTGCTTGAAGACAAGATAAGAGTTTCAGGAGTCTACTTGTTATATGCCTTTTTAAGTTTAGAAGTTTGCATATTTTGTTGGTTATGGTAAAAAATCACATACTCCTGACTGGTCCTTGTATATACTCTTGGTAAGGAACACAGAACAACCCCCCTATAAATAGGCGTTACTTATGTCCGTTTATACGTTACTTTTGTCCGTATATATGTTACTTGTATAAAAATAATGAGACAACTATCCACCAAAGTTCAAATGAAGTGGATGTAAGCAATTATAGGCAATCGAACGGCCTTCAACAATGAGAAAAACCCATACCTTAGGGTCGGCTATAAAAGGCCCCGACATGACAAACATGAAACGATTCAATTGAAAAAACTAACGGCCTAATTCATAACAAAACAATTTACGAAAAACAAATATTAATATGACAGACATGAACCAACGATAACAACTGAACTACAGGCTCCTGACTTGGGACAGTGTCAGTTTATATGTTACTTGTGTTAGTTTATACGTAACTTGTGTCAGTTTATACATTAACGTGTGTCAATATATACGTTACTTTTAGAGTGTAATGAAATGATTAATCAAGGAATCCTCAGTTTTAACTTCACAGCTATCTGGACATAAAAGCCCAAGTCACATACATGAATCTTGAAAAATGTCAATAAAAGACACACAAAAAAATCCTACGCAACATTGCATATAAAAATAAGGAGATTTGCATGTTTGGGAAAATTACTGATAAAATTAAAGGATTTCTGTATCGACTTCATCTGACTTGTCCTCGCAAGCTCGCTTACATTTGCTGTGATGAAATCAATCTGATAATTACAGTCCTTTATTATATGCATGTATGTCATGTGAACTAGATTTTGAAAAAATTTCTTATTAAATTTTTATGTTTACCAACTGTGATCTTGACCTTGACCTACTAAACATAAAACCGACAGATTTCCTACTGTTGATTACTTGTATAAACTTTATGAAATAAAAATAGAACCTCCAGAAATTACACAGAAACAACAAGTAAAACATAATATTCCAATCTTTCTCAGTAGTTGTGACCTTGACCTTTGCCATGTTGACCTAAAAATCGGTAGGGTTTTCAACTTTTTCCTTTTTTTATTTCTGCCATCTATCTATATTTTAAACAAAGAAAGGAAACTCGATTTATCACTCGGATACTAATTTTAGAAAAATCTATTTATAGTAATAGCGACCTTGGTTTTTGACCTCACTCTTCTATCACCCGGAGGCCATATGCATCGGACCTACAAACAGACGGACAGACAAAGCAGCAACAATACGGTTCCGTGTTTTTCCGGGAGCATATAAAAAAACATCTGTCCAGAGGTCAGCAAACTATCTTAAACAACAATCAAATAAAAATATCTAGTAGTATACTATTTAATATGTAAAGCTCTAAATCACCTTATTAGTTTTCGGTCATTTGCACTTATCTATAAAAATGCACAATTCCATGATTCAAACAGGATTTCATTAATACTACACATATTTTTCTTTGTTTCTTTACAAAATAAAAAATGTTCTATGTTATCCAACGTATATCAAAAAATTTGCAAGTGTACTTTTTTATGAACATTAAATTTTTATGATCTTATACATCACCGGAGAAATGATCAAAGCCCTTAGAAATCTTTGGTATGTTTAATGCCCCTGTTTTAAATGTAGAGTCATACTTACATTTAATGTAACACATTTGTATAATTTTAAACATAACCTTTCTAAATGTTCAATCATATATCCGATGATTCAACAATGATAAACGAGATAAAATACTTCACTTTTCATAAGAAACGATTCTATTTTACAACATCTATCGAACTATTTGTTTAGATTAAATTAAATTAAATTATTATTAACAGTCACTCATTTTAATTTATTTTTGGGGGGAGGGAGGGGGCTCTCTCCAGAAAGTGGAGAACTCATGTCTAAGGGCCTACCTGAATCGAATATCTTTTGGCAACCAATAAGCCCCTTTCTGAATATTTTGAGAGTGGTTACCTAGATTTTGTGTTTGAATGTGAAGATGCCGATGAAAAATTTATTTTCTACAAATTAATATGATTTACTACTATCAAAATATTGTTTAATCTGGCGTTAATGGTTTTTTAAAAGTTTTACTTTATGAGAATCAAGAAAAAACAAACAAACTTACCTGAAAATTTCTCGAGAAAGGAAGTACTACATACTAATTTATCTTAAGTTACATGTCACAGACTCGACATGGTCGACACTGAAGACTTACCTATATAACTAAACATGTATGTTACAAATAATTACTAGTCTATCAATCATACATAAAGTTGTATCAATAGCGGTCATAGAGTATATCGAACAACACTTTTAATAATTACTTAATGAAAAACAACTACACATTAACACGAAAAAAATATCACCTGTCATTGGGCGTGTTCATTTGTAAAAGGACATATCTCTTGTGGAGAGTTGTCTCATTGGCAATCATACCACATCTTCTTATTTTTATATAAACGCGCAAAAAAAAGTAAAAAGCAAAACATTTTAAAATATCTTTAAAGTATTTTCATAACTAGTCAATCAGCTGGTTTGGTTTAAATTAGTCATTCATCCCTTTTATCACATGTATTTTTTTTAGTCCTTTTTTGATCATATAGCTCTTCAACTTTTTCGGTTCTTATAAATCCTTGGCTTTCAAATATTCGGCTATGAGCGTTCCTGATGAAGGTAAATCCAGAAAATCACTTCGGACGCATGAAATTTATAAAGTGTTGTGTTCATTTTTAACGACAGTTTCTCAAAGCCTGCAGTGAAGCAGTCGTATTTTACGTCTGCTATGGATTCCTAAACAGGTTGGGAACAAACCTTATATATTTAAAGGCAAATCTAACATATTTTTTTTAACATAAACACCCTTAGATGATTGTGATCAAGTTAAGACAAGCTTAGTGATTTTTATATTCGTAAGCTCATGTGTGTTCCTTGCTATAGATTAGAATATCTAACATAAGCTCGATTATGGTGGTCATATTAGACAAGTATATAACAAGGAATAAACTGTCAAATTGACAGCATACTGGGTTTTCTATATTTTGTAAGACGTTTTCAGGCTTTTTTTTCGTGTCACATTGATTCTATGCCTATTTTCCAATATAATAAGGACCATAAGTCCAGAACGGCAGAAGTGAAATCATCAATATTTAACTTGACCTCCCGTTTGTGATCAGTAACAACATATCATAATTTGAAAACCATTGGTGGAAGCGTTCATAAGTCATTAAACGGAAACCACATAAAGTGCTTTTTTCCAATATTTCATGGACCATTATTCCGGAACGGAAACATGGAAAATATCGAACTTGACCTCCATTTTGTTATTAATATCAACATATTAAAATTTGAAAAGCATTGGTTGAACGATTCATTAGTTTTTGCACGGAAACTGTTGGCAGCCGCCCGCCGTACTTAACCAATTCAATGACTTTTTTTTCCTTCTGAAAACCCAGTTAAAAACCAAAATTTGATTGTACATGCTCATCGTAACAGATACAGATTTACACAGAACTTGTTCTATTGGTTTTATTTTTAAATTTAAAAACATTAAAAGATAATTTTGCCCAAACTTTAAAATTCATGTATCCCTAATGTTTTATTTATAGTAACAGCGGTCAGATTAGGACATTGGCGGAGGAAATCGAAAAAAATGTTTTTAAACTGAGAGACACTGAATATTTTAAAAGCGTGGCCATGTTTTGTGCAAAGTAGCCCTTAGTTCCAGGAAGACTTATAACATTATATTGCATTTTCGCTCATGCATGTATATCTATACGGATATCACGTTCCTGATGGCGGACATAAAGGAAGTGTTGGCCTCATCAACAATGGTTCTTTTTTTCTACATTGAATTTCTGTACAGGATTCACACGTGTCTTCCTAAATATACACTGTTCTTACCTAACTCGTATATATCGTATGAGGTCACTAGCGCACTGTGTAACAGTATAAAATTAAACTAATATTATTGCGAGACAGCGATGTTAATCCGGCGTTAGTCTAAGTATGAAGCTTTATATTTTAGAAGATAGAACACCTGGATACTTCATATCTTATACAGATGTCCTATGTCCAGAAGTTTTCAGCCTGACATATGTCGTTGTCCTTGAACTCAGCAGTGGCGTAGCTTGCCAACTGTTGTTACCGAGTCCGGGGTCTGGGGAAGCTATTGATTTTTTGCAATTTGATCAAGAAGGATCTATTAACAACAATAGCGGTTGTTTTATTTTATTTCAACATTATACTGTTAATGTACGTGCCTTACACTAAGTTATACTACAGATTTATTAGTTAATTACTGGTACCTTCGTCATTTTCAATGTTTAGATGAATACATAAATGTTCTCAAAAACATTTACCACTTTTTCGAATCGATTCCTTTCATTAAAATTCCAAGATTGTAAATTGTTTGCGAATAAAATTAAGGAGATGGATATGGGCCACGAATCATCAAAAACCGACGGACGGATTGAACAGCAGAATTTCTTGATAAACTAGGAAATAATCACATGCTAAATGTAAAGAACACCATGGCACTTTTATTGGTGATATTTCTCTGAAGGTCTTTAAATTCTTACATGGTTTTGAACTTTTTCCTTCATGTGAAAGTGACAACCGGCAAAGTACTAACGGCAACATTTACGTTTTTCTGAAGTCTTCATAATAAACGAAAACAGTAGTTGGTTAAAATTTTTTACATATAATGTGACATCTGTATGTATATATGTCTCTGGAATTGATGACTCCTTTAAATATTTAAAATTCCCGGAGAGTGAAAAACTAATAATTTGAAGTAGCGAGAATAAAACTTTTGAACAACATACAAATTATTTTCTGTGCATGTTGATTGATGTGTAATTGTTTTGGTTGGTATCAAAGTCAATGAAACTCTGTGTAAATGAAGTACTACACGTAGGTGAAAATGTCAATACACAACAATATTTCAATTTTAGACGTTACCGGTTTTTTCATAAGGGTTTGAATGGGGGTCTTCAAATATCTATTTTTAATAATTTCCTTTCACTTATACTTTAGCACCCTTCTGATTCCCTAATTCTTTTAAGTTTAAATTAATTTCAGTGGTGGATCCAGAAATTTTCATAAGGGGGGGCCCACTGACTGCAATAAGAGGGGGGCCGCTTAGTCCTGCTTCAGTGATTCCCTAAATAATCAACCACATTTTTCCCACAAAAGGGAGGCCCGGGCACCCTGCCCCCCCCCCCCCCCCACCCACCCTAAATCCGCCTCTGAATTTCAGGGCATTTTTCTGTATTCTGTCAGCCGCATCCAGACCCTCATATACAAGAAATTATTCTCACACAAAATTTAACAATTTACCTGATTGGTCAAGTGATTCGATTTTAGAAGGCCCGTGAGTTTGATCATCGTTTATTTTACTAACTTTGCTTTGGGTAGGATTAAATAAATCTGTCAGTTTCAATTGTGTTGATTTCTTTTACTTCGGCATATTTAGATTACTGAAAACTACCGCAAAGGGGATTTCCAAATAGGAGAGGGAAATCTTTCCATAATTCTTGAATTAGCACTGTATGAATCAATAACGACAACAAAAGTAGCGAGTCTGCTGCATTAGGGGGAAACTGTTTTAAATATCATAAAGGATATTTTTTATGTTTTTTTGATCGGTTGCCTCAACGTAAGCTACACCAATGATCTCTATTTATGGTTCAGCGACAGCTTCAAACACCATAATTTTTTTATCATGTGATTGTTTTCTGTTATTATGAGTAATAGGCCAACTATATTTAATTTTTTTGATATTATATAATAAAGAGCTACGTCATGAGCGCATGATACGCCCGTCGCTTTTTCAACGAATAAAGTTCCATTACTCCTCAATGTCATATCAGAAATTTATAAAAAAAAAAAAAAATACAGGGAGCTTATTTTAATAGATGTAAGTCATGAAAACTGCTCAAGGTATTTTTGAGCTGTTGTCCGAAAACTGGAAAATCCCCCCTTTTTATGAATAAAATCCCCATTACTCAGAAATGTAAAATCTAAAATTTATAAAAAACGAAAGGGAGATAACGTCAATAGATATAACAATTCACCAAAATTTCATGATAATTGGTTAAAGCGTTTTTGAGTTATTGTCCGACATGTTGATGATGGACGGACAGACGGACGGACGGAGACGGACGAACGAATAGACGGACGAACAACGGAATACCATACTACGTCCCGTAAACGGGCGTATAAAAACTACTTTTATTATTTAAATATTCATTTTTGATATTTCATTACAGTATATATATTTTGATTTTGAAATGGATAGCAGTGTCTCATATATCTTAAAGGCAGGGATCTAATATGGTTTTAAAGATTTTTATAGTTTGTATGATAATGTATATTTGATTATCTAGACATCATTGAGATGGGAGCCAACTCTGTGGGCCCCCGCTGTAAATAACTTGTGGTTAAAAATTTGTATGGATAAGCTGATATGAAGCACTTTTTTAAGTTATTACATAGTCTGTTCTGAGAGTGATTTTATTCTGTGTTTTTTAGTTAAAGTGTTATATTTGGCCTAGGAAGTTGTACATACATTATGACACACCCTCTAGTGTTGGTTAATATACATGTCAAGTATAAACTTTGAAATCATAACGGTTCTCAAGATATACAGCGGACATGATCTGTACTATAGGACATGGGGTTGTCAAATGAAACTAATGTTTCTGACCTTGAACTTTGACCTAGGAAGTTGTACAAACATTATGACACACCCTCTGGTGTTGGTTAATATACATGTCAAGTATAAAGTATGAAATCATTACGGTTCTCTAGATATAGAGCGGACACAATTTGTTATGGACGGACGAAGTGAAACCAAAGTTTTTGACCTTGAACTTTGACCTAGGAAGTTGTACAAACATTATGACACACCCTCTCTGTTGGTTAATATACTTGTCAAGTATAAAGTATGAAATCATAACGGTTCTCTAGATATAGAGCGGACACAATTTGTTACGGACGGACGGACGGACGGACAGATTGATCACTATATGGCGACCCGATATCCTGTCGATATGCACATCAACAAAGTATGTCCTCATTATCTACAAAGTTTCATGAAATTCTGTTGTGTGGTTTCAGAGGAATTGCGATGAAAAACTGTTGCAGAAGTATATTTAGGTCGAAATTCTAAGTTCAAAGGGGCATAACTCCTAGAATAAATTTGAATCAT